TGCTATCACGCCCTCTTATCTGCTCGCGCTGTTATGTTTGTGTCTTTACCCCTGGCTCAGTGGTGGAACACAAAGCTTTTCGCGCCAGAGATCCGTGTTCGATTCCGGCTCTCGCAGATAATCTTTATGCAGCTCTGAGCTCGCGCCCAGCTCTCTTACGTGACAGAAAGCGGCCGCGCTCTCCCGCGCTCATGAGAAACGTTCTCATTTCCGAGCATAAAGCTGGACAAATGGGTTATAGTGTGTTAGTTCCGCTGAGGCCGAACCTGTTACTGCTATCACGCCCTCTTATCTGCTCGCGCTACTGTGCTTGTGTCATTACCCCTGTGGCTCAGTGGTGTATCACAAAGCTTTTCGCGCCAGAGACCCGCGTTCGATTCCGGCTCTCGCAGATAATTTTTATGCCGTCACAAGTCCAGCCTCTGTAGGCTAAAAATAGTCTCGTGCCCGCTTGCAGCGCTCACGTTTCTAACACGCACTTGCACGCGACGCGCGTCACAAGTGCAGCCGATTTCAGGCTATATATATATCCCGCTGCAGGCCGCTCACGTGACCAGCCTCAGCTGAGAAAAGGACGGCTATTTCTCACCATGGCTAAACCGCCATCAAGGTTTCGCCCTCTGTCAGTCCCCGTTCACACGGCTACTGCAGCAGTGTACACCGCCATCAACAAGCCGGTCTCTTTTCCCGCTTGCATGTGCACAAACGCCGTTTTCACCGCGTCCCAGTGAAATCCAAAAAAAAAAAAAAAAAAAAAAAAGTGCATAAAAGCCTCTTGGGTAGAAAATTAGCCCACAACACTGTGTTCACTCATACACAAAACACTGCATGTGCACAAACACCGTTTTCACGGCGACCCAGAGATATCTCAAAAAGAGCATAAAAACCTATTGTGTAGATAATGTGCCCACAACACTGTGTTCACTCATACACAAAAGCTTTTCAGTTCCCGTTTGTCTCACAGAGCCCACTCTCATAAAGCGGTTCCAACCCGCTCGAGTTTCAGAGTGCATAAGCGCGCACACGGGCTCCCACCTCTGCTCACTCTGTTACACGGCCCTTAAACTCCTCTCTGAGTGTAAGTCCCGCTGTCATAAACACTATGAGCGCGCCCGCGCGGCCCGCTGTGTGCAGCAACGGGGACCATGTAGCCATTCACCCCTTAGCGTTACGCTTCAAGCGTGGGAAGCTATTCCGGGAATTTCCCAGTGGGTGCTAAACACAATAAGGCTAGGCTATCGCTTACAGTTCCACCGCCGCCCTCCAGGTTTCCGAACGCGGCTAGAAACTATTGTGAACCCAGAAGCAGTGACTCTGCTCCGTTCAGAGATAGCAAAACTATTGTGCAAAAGGGCTATAGAGAGAGTTCCTCTATCTATGAGCGAGTCGGGGTTTTACGTCCGTTATTTTCTGGTTCCAAAGAAAGACGGCGGCCTCAGACCAATCTTAGACCTCAGATTTCTGAACAAAGTTCTCATGAAGAGACCGTTCAAAATGCTCACTATCAGAAAACTCCTCGCGCATGTGCGCCAGGGGGACTGGTTCATTTCACTAGATCTGAAAGATGCCTACTTTCAGATTCAGATAAATCCCCTTCACAGGCCATTCGTACGTTTCGCCTTCGAAGGCCAGGTTTATCAATACACCGTCCTCCCGTTCGGCCTATCCCTAGCACCCCGCACGTTTACGAGGTGCATGGATGCGACGCTCGCCCCCCTGCGGAGTCAGGGGCTGCGAATACTGAACTATTTGGACGACTGGCTGATTTTGGCACAATCACAGAGGGAGCTACTGTCTCATCGTACAGTTCTCCTCGACCATCTGAAAAGTTTGGGCCTCTCTGTCAACTGGACAAAGAGCGCACTTCAACCCAGTCAGACTATCTCCTTCTTGGGTATAGAGCTAGACTCGGTCTCAATGACGGCTTGTCTGTCTACACAGCGCGCGCGCCGTGTGCAGCGTCTCGCCGCATCTTTTCAGATGAACAGACTCACACCTCTGAAAACTTTTCATAACTACATAAACATAACTACACGTAGCTAAAAGTTAAAATAACAATTATACATGCCACTGTAGACATGTACAAATGTATCTGAATGCATTTTTAGGAAATGTTCTGTGTTACATATTTTTACCGATTTATGACGTCTGGCCGCAACTATTTTTGGCCAGGGACACGACGTTGCCGTCGGACCAATGTTTGCTGGGGTTAGACTTATTTTTATTGCGCTGATAGTGGGATCTTTATTTGTAAAGGACAGCACATCAGAACAGAGCAGCCAAACAAACTCCCTCGTCTGAAAAGTGGGACGGGAGCAGCAGCTCATTAGCATTTAAAGGGAAACACTAAAATGGTGCGTTTTTGCACAAGCCAAAATTTGGCAATTTTAAAATGCTATAAAAAATTATCTGTGGGGTATTTTGAGCTAAGACTTCCCATACACACTCTGGGGACATCAAATAATTGTTTCACATCTTGTGAAAAGGGGCATAATAGGTAGCCTGGTCCCACCAGACTCTCGTACATTTCATTTCATTTGTACATAGAGTCTGGCACCGCTCCATTGACAATCGTTAACTTCCTTGTAGGCGGGTACTCTATTGAAGTCTAAAACTATGGATCTACTCAGAGTCACTCTGGATCTGCCATAACCAATCACTAACGTTTGGTCGTGACGTATGTCATCCGAACATCATGGCCATCAACAAAACTAAGCAAAGACTGTTCTTGCTCCGGCTTTAACTTCTTGATATTCGGCAGCGTTGCCACAACGGACCGAATGACTTCGCTCGCATCTTTCTCCGCTGCCATTACTGAACTACAACTCAAAATAACCCACAACGTCATCGTTCTCAGCCACTCCCTCTGTTTGCTGATTGGCCCGGTAAAAAATTAATCGGAGAAAACCAAAGTCTACAGCAGAATCCCAGACGTAGTACTGAAGGAAAATGAAAATTGAGCGGAAGTACGTAGGAGGGCGGAGTTAGGCTACACAATAGGTCCCCTGTAAGACTAACACCAGAAACATCAGGCTGAAGTGGCCATGAAGTGGTAATAACTGGAGACTCACTGTCTGTCGGCTCTACGCTGGATGTGTGTGGATGAACCTGTGATGACTCCTGCTCAGACACAAAGGGACACACTTTGGTTTTGAGGGTTTGGAAGGGACGTTTCACAGCCGTCAATCCTCTCCTGAAGATGCTCCTCCCTTTCGCCTGTTTTTCTGCAAACAACAAATATTGATTAGAAACATTGTTTTATTAGCACAGATTACAGCTGAATGATTCTCTTGCAAAAAATTGGCGAACTTGACCTTTAAAAATAAGACAGCATAATTTTGTCCATTTAACTGAACATGACTTTAAAGTCCTGACTTGTAGCTATTGCCATATGGACAATTCTTTGTTGTGTCACAGTTTGAGTCACAGTTACTTCTGGCAGATTAAAGGATATTTTGCGATTGTAACCTTGAACATGCATTTTCTGTAAAGCTGCTTTGAAACGATATGTATTGTGAAAAGCACTAGATCTATGAGTAAAACTGAATACATGTTATTTTTTTGTTCCAACCATGATTCAACTATAGTTATAGGCTATTGCAGTAAACCTAAAAGCAGTGGCGGCTTGTCCATAGGGGGCGCTGGGGCGCCGCCCCCATCAACATTTCAGAAATTAACATGTGTAAAAACATTATATATATAAAAATAGTTTACTCATGTGTCGGCTCGTAGTAAGAGCCTCAGAATTTAATAAAAACTGTGTTTAATTGATTAAATATTTACTATGTTTTTCAATACGTTTCATGGGCGAGGGATGCCGGACACATGGGTGTCTATGTGAGAACACAAATTCTCGGGCAGCATGTGACCTGAAGCTGGTCTCTGATTGGTTTCTTAAAGATCCTCCTCGGGGCGCAAGTCGTTGCGTCCCTGGCCAATCATAATTGGATACATGTTATTTTATCCAATCTGATTGGTTCTCGTCACCTGTCATTCAACCATGGGCGTAGATTACGCGGGGGACGCCCACTTTTTATAAAATGTAAATTCGTCCCCCGCACTTTTTCATAGGGCAAGTGTGTATACAACAAGCTGAGGTTTTCGCGGGTGTGTGTAGCCTACATCGAGATTTAAAATCCAAAGAGTCAAGGATAGTCTATCTACATACGTGACTTTCACGTTTCCATGGTAATCATTCACTCGTGCATTAGCCTACGACACGCCCATGCTCGCGCGCCGAATCCATCAGTATCAGTTCAAAACGGCAAAAACTCTTCACTCGTTTTTCACGAAAAAGTCAAGCACTGTAAGTTGTCATGTGGTATCCGAATTGTGTTGCACAATGATGAATAACTCTGCCTATTTCTCTTGTTGAATTAAGAAGTTTTGTTGTAAATTGAAAATATTCACTACCCGCAAAAATGTGCACTATTTTCAATCTTTTTATATTCGTAATGTCTTTTATGTTCACAGATATGTTATCAAAGCCCTTCAAATTAGAATAAACATGGTGATTGTTAATGCTGAATTTGTATTTTCCTGCAATAACAGCCACGATCTGCTTGAATCAGGCAGCGTTGTAACATTTACATGATGTTTACCATAATTCGGTAACACTTTACATTTAGATAAAAAAGTTATAGACAAACTTTAAGTTCTCTTGAAAAAGCCTAATAGAAAGTTTTAAGTAGTTTTAAAAGCTTGAAGCTACTAGGCTGATCACTTTTTATTACGCAATGGCAGCAGTTAATCCAAATTCTGTTATTTATTTACAAAAAACCCTTTCTCAAGACTTTCGCTTGAAGAAAAAAATAAAGATTAAGGATCTCGGACCGGAACAACCAGATTTACACATCCAGCAGCAGGCAAGTGACAGAGGACGAAGCTACAAACGGAGCTTTACCCGTGCTTGTTACGAGAAACGGAGCTGGGAACATCTATTTAAGGGAACATCTAAAACAGAACAAGCTTCTGGACTGTATGTTATCTGTTACAAGAGAAGAAATAATCAAAGAAGTCCAGACAAGTAGTTTTTTTATCAATCCAGGCAGATGAAACCACAGATATTGCCACACTGGCCCAGCTTGTGCTTGTTTTGCGCTACATCGACGACAAAAATAACGTGCAGGAAAGATTTTTTGAGTTCATCCCTCTGCAGTCAGCTACAGCTGAGTCCATTGCTACTGCACTAAAAGAGCGTCTTGCTTCTATCCTCCCCGAGGATCAGAAAAGTAAGCTCATCTGCCAGGCATATGATGGAGCCAGCGTGATGAGGGGTGCCACTGCAGGTGTACAGAGAAAAGTACAAGATGTGTATCCAAATGCCCACTATATCCACTGCTACGCTCATCAGCTCAACCTGATTATGCAGCAGGCCACGTCTCACATATCCAAGACGAGAATTTTTTTTTCTAACATTGGTGGATTTGCCAGCTTTTTTTCTAAGTCACCCAAGCGGACATGTTTTCTGGATAAAGTGGTTGCCCATAGACTGCCAAGATCCAGCAATGTCAGATGGAACTTTCATAGCCGTGCCATTAATACAGTTTGAGCACAGAGAGGATCTCATTCACTGTTTTGAGAGCATACAAGACTCCGGTGACTTTGACCCCAATACTGTCAGAGAAGCAGGTGCCCTGGCCATGCTACTGGAGGATGATGATTTTAAGTTCTTTCTGGAACTTTATCACCACATCATGCCACATGTAGACTTCCTCTATGCCAAGCTCCAGAAGAAGAACATTGATTCGGTCCATATCAAAGTGAGCATCCAACAGTTCCAACAGGAAATACAAAAGATCAGGTAACTGTATTCCTGTAATATGATTATTATTTGGTTTCTCTTTCATTATTAACTCTCTCTCTTTTGCCAATATTATAATAAATTAGCTTTGTCCTTTGCAGAAACTCTCTCCACTCCATTGGTGAACATAACAGTGGTTCTCAGCCAACAAAGAGACGCCGGGTGCTCAGTCCGGAAGAACGTGAAAGGATTGCAGCAGAGGTGAGTTTGTTATAGAAATCAGTCAAAATACTATTTTACGATATTGTTGTGCTGCAGAAATGTCCTGCCTGCATATCATATTCTACAGACTCAAGAAAACTATTTTAGTTTGGTATAAATCCTTACAAAAATCATCATTTTAATATTATACAACAGCATCCCAAAAATTATAAATTGGCAACATAAATATAAATGATCAAATTAGGGATGCAAGTTATCGATTAATTCATTAATCTTTAGTTGATTGACCTTATCGATCGATTAACGATTAACTGATAAGTGGCTGTTTTCCTGAGAATGTAAATTTCTCACGGTATCAATCTTCTAAATATCTTCCTTTCTGTTTAGCAGAAGAAATTAATTCATACAGGTTTGAAAAAAACATGAGGGTGAGTATATGATGCCTGGCTACTACCTTACATTTATATATTGTTTAATTATCTCTATAGGTCTGTGACACAATCCTGGGACACACTAGGGAGCGTTTCTCCTTCACAGACCACCTTGTCTGTGCCACCTTGTTGCAGGGGGACAGGTTTGACGAGTACAAGGATACCTTTCCTGCCGATGCATTGAGCAGCACCATCAGAGCGTACCCGATGCTCAATGGAAGCAAGCTCAAGACAGAGCTCAGTCTTATCTACAGCAAGCAAGAGTTCTGTGCCTGCCGTGGTGCTGTGGACCTATTCCAGCTGTTTATGGAGAATAATCTCGAAGAAGTCTTTTCCGAAACCGTGACTCTCCTAAAAGTTATCAAACCACACCCATGACCACGACTGAAGCTGAGAGGTGCTTTTCAACCTTGAAAAGAATTAAAACCTTTCTCAGAAACACCATGACCCAGGAGAGGCTGAATGCACTGGCATTGCTGTCCATGGAAAAGAGACTTGTCACAGCGATGACTGACTTTAATCAGAGAGTAGGCTAATTGAGAAATTTGCTGGCCAGAAAGAGAGAAGAGCTAAATTTATGTTCAAGTAGGAAAGATGCTTTTTGGTCCTGATTTGTTGATCTGAAATGTATATAAAGAAGAGCATTGTTTTATGTTCAAGTAGGAAACATGCTTTTTGTTGCTGCTTTGTTGGTCTGAAATGTACAGACCCTTTCGTCGGAGATAACGAGAATTCACTTAAAGGGATAGTTCACTTTGAAATAATTTTTGATATGTTTTAGCTTACCTCCAGTGCATCCAAGATGTAGGTGTCTTTGTTTCCACAGTATCTTCAATTTTGATAATTTTAGGTAAAACCGTTGTTGTCTGTCAGTCATACAATGGAGGTGAAGGGGGTCCTCCTCAAAGAGCAGTCCAAATTAAACATTATTTAATGACTCGTAAATGTAAGTACACATTGATGCCCTAAGACACGAAACGAGTGGTTTTTGTGAGAAAACGAACAGTATTTATATTGTTTTTACCTCTTGTAACCACAGCCATGCCCAAGTTATCTGAGGGCGCGGACGCTTCCGTGTGTGACGTGTACGCAGACTGGTGCATAGATATATATACCCTAGATGTCGCCTTGGCTAAGGTTTCGTTCCATTGAACTGCCGTCGCCAAGGCGACGTCTAGTTTATCTATGCACCAGTCTGCGTACACGTCACACACGGAAGCGTCCGCGCCCTCAGATCACTTGGACGTGGCTGTGTTTACAAGAGGTAAAAACTATATAAATACTGTTCGTTTTCTCACAAAAACCGCTCGTTTCGTGTCTTAGGGCATCAATGTGTACTTACATTTACGAGTCATTAAATAATGTTTAATTTTGACTGCTCTTTGAGGAGGACCCCCTTCACCTCCATTGTATGACTGACAGACAACAACGGTTTTACCTAAAATTATCAAAATTGAAGATACTGTGGAAACAAAGACACCTACATCTTGGATGCACTGGAGGTAAGCTAAAACATATCAAAAATTAATTTCAAAGTGAACTATCCCTTTAAGAGACCTACAGACCCTTTCCAAAAAAATAGAATATCAGGGAAAAGTTAACTGTTTCAGGAATTCAACTTCAAATGTGAAACTAATATATTATATAGGCTCATTGCTTGCAAAGTGAGAGATTTCAAGCCTTTATTTGTTATAATTTTGATGATTATGGCTTACAGCTTATGAAACCCACAAAATCTAAATGTCATAAAGCTTTCCCAGATAGCACACGTACATCGCGGAGACGTCTGTGAAAGATCGTGGCATCTGGTAAACATCGCATTCGAACGACCGTTTTTAATAGTTAATGAGCCGTCTTCCTTACCTCTATACGATGTCTATACGATGATTCTTCAACATTTGAAATTGCATGCTGCCAGATCAGATCAGCCGACACGGCCGCGATGGGTCTCGTGGCTTCCGCATTGTGCATGATCGCATTCAGTGTAAACGAAAATATATACATATCTTTTTAAATAATTATATCAAATAAATACATTGATTCCTAATTGTTCGTAGTTGATCAGCACACAATTTGACAAGCATTTAAACCCATTGTTGCATTTTTCCCTTACCAGTAGGCCTACATGTGAAAAAAAAACAGTAGTTTTACCTTCATTAAGAGATTTTGCATTGGTTAATACAGTTTCACTGATCCATTTTGTCTGACTACATCAGTGTTTCTCAACCTCTCCTGCAGGGACCCCCTGACAGGCCATGTTTCTGTTTTAACCCTGAAATGGCACACCTGATTCAAGTCATTAAAGGCTTAATGAGTAGTTGACTAATTGATTAATTGAACTATTCCTACTCTAATTACTCATTAAGCCTTTAATTACTTGAATCAGGTGTGCCATTTCAGAGTTAAAACAAAAACATGGCCTGTCAGGGGGTCCCTGCAGGAGAGGTTGAGAAACACTGGACTACATTAATATTTACTCGGGACATATTCATTTTTTTTTTTTTTTTGCTTTCAGTACAGAATAAAATATTAGCATAAATATAACACATGGATTTATTTAAAAAATGCTTTCAATGACTTAAGGGCAACTTGATCCTCTTACTGGATACAAATCAGAATATATTAATAAAAATAATGTTAAAAAAACAACACATGAACACTTTCTGGAACCCATCATGCACAACAGCCTTTAAATTTGCTAGTTTGCTTGATCCCTCCATTGAAAAAAAATACATGCAAGGAGGTTTACCTCAAATGTACAACTTGGCTGCATTTTTTGCAAGTCAACTGGAAGTCTACCTGCTGATTATAGGTGTGGTTCATAATTTCTTCTTGCATCTTGCAGAAAGCATAAATTAGACCCTTCTAGACTACCATGCTTGGCTGCTGCTTAGAATGGAAAGTGTAGAACAAGCTTGATAATTTGATTAACAATTTAATTTATTCCATGATCCACGGCTTTGTCATTCACGGACATTTCTTAATGTCTTGTTTTTTCTTTCATGTGTCAGGTGGTTCTTTGACTACGCCATGCACAGAAATAGTTTAACACACACCAAGCCATTTTCATATTTTGTTCCAAATAATGATGCTTACAAACTCCCAATGAGCAAGGCAACGGGCAATGGTAAAGAAAACCCTTGTAGATGTATAAGGAAGAAGCCTTAGGAGGAAACAATATAAAAATGTTAATTTGATTCATATTACCACAAAGATTTAATACCATTTACTTTCCAGAGAATTGATTCAACTTTAAAACCATCTTTAAATATATATTTTTTTTAAATGACAATTTAATGTAGTAACTGCTGAGAGCATAAAGGTGAATATATAGTCACAAATAAGGTCCCGTAACAACTCTGGCTTCCGCGGATGACCTGGTGCTGATCGGAGGATCTTGGAGCAATATGACCCACAACTCACTCCCGCTGGACGAGTTCTGTCAGAACACCGGCCTACACGACAGCTCCCTTCCCTAGGAAGTGTTGCAGCTACCATAATACCAGTCTCATAGATTATAATGAGCTTTAATAGAACAATCCAACACATTTGCAATGAACAGATCGTGCATGGCAGACACTGGTTATGGACTGCATATTTATTATTTTATTGCATATTTTAAAATTTAATGAAGACATTGATGGCCAGGTGGGTGTGGGAATGAAGGTGGACTAGAGGTAGATCTGTGCATCTTAGGATGAACCATCTCCAAAGCTGTTAGGTGGAGAAAAGAAATTTAAAAAAGATATTAGAGCATTCTATAAGGAAAGTTACTGTGGGTTAAAATACTTATTTCTCACAAACAATATTGGGCAGTGAACACCATGTAAAATGTAGAAACATGAACACAATACTGTCAACAACCTCCTTGAAAGATACTACACTGTCGCATTGAAATCAGATTGAACGTGCACTCAAAAAAATGAAATATGGCTGTTGTTGATCCAAATAATGTAACTGTTCAAATTAAATAATGCTTTTATGTGCATTAAAACTAAAATAGTTGTGTTGACAGAATTAGAAAAAGTAATTTCTCAAATTTACACAACTCACTTAAGTTAAATGAACGAAATGCAGTTGTGTTAAACTGCAGTACCGCACTTTGGTCAACACGCGTCGCTCATCTTTTAGCACTCGTTCTCCCATTTTGTGGGAATCAAACCATGCTCAAAAGGAGGATGCAATATCTATCTGGACAAACAGGTGAGTTATTTTACTTCACATATTTAATGAGCATATTGCAGGTAAAATTTTTTTTTTCTAAATTAATATATAACCTTGTATGAAAATACCATATGAAAAGTTAATGCAGGATTTCAAATGTTTTAAAACGACATAAGGGCACCAATTTATTTATTATTTATTTCTCGCCTTAAACTTCATTGAGAATTTTTTCTTGAAAACTGTGAATGCTAGATGAAGCAAATGACAAATGAAGCAAATGACATCATTAAGAACAAAGTTTGGAGTTTGTAATGGGAATTAGAAATAGCTTGCCAAAGCGAACATTTCGGAAAAATTCACTCTGGCTGGTAAACACTTTCAAACTATTGGTCCATGGCAATTACGTAACAGGTTGGTGTGATATGTGGCTCCGCCTTCTTTGACAGGGGAATCTTCTCTGGTTCATTTCTTCTGTTTAGTCGAGGTCAGATACTAGTAAAAAATGAACACACTGGAGAGATGTAGAAATTGAAGTTGCACTTCTAAGTAAAAGTGACACTGACACTATTTTTTGTGTTTAACACGGTAAAGCTGCTTACTTAAAAGCAATATTGTATAAAATGCTATATAAATAAACGTGACATGACTTGACTGGTGCAAACCTGCTTGCCAAACTGGTGCAAACATATCCTCGTCGCTGTGATCAGATGCTTTCTTACCTGCTGTTTTCACACCACTGTCATTTTTGTTGTGTTTTTGTTATTTAGAGGAAAGCGTGTAGCACATATTTACATAAAAATACCTCTGCCTCGATTGTACCTGTACATCAATGCGGGGTGCAGATTGGTGTATGGGGACAGAAGCCAGTGAAATGGCAGCATTCTGTGCAAAAAGATGGTAGAGACATCTGATTATTACCTAAAACGTAATACCTGCTCTCTTTGAATGCATTATTCACATGACTATCTTTTGTTACTTTGTTTTCTTTTGTATGATACTTAATTACAGGTAATCTTTGTGGAAATGAAGATTTCACCTTGTGACAAGCCATATTTGGTCCACAGGTTCTTCTTGGGCATCTGTAGGTTGGGACTGTCTGGATAGTACCCGTACATCAATGCGGGTTGAGCATTGGTGTGTGGCGACAGGGAGTTCTGATGCTGGGGAGGCCCGTCTGGTCCTTGGGTGCTGATGTTTGCTTAGGTAAATTAATAATTAAAATATATAAACCAGTTGTGGAGATTGACATTTTTCAATTCAATCCGTTGCTCTGGGTCAGTTTGCAGGCAAGAGCAAAGTAGTTCGCAGCATTCTGTGTAGAAAGATGGGAGAGATGTCTGATAATTACTTTAACTTGCTTTTAATTTTTTGTTCTCTTTTGTTTGATTTAGAATTACAAGTGTCCTTTACTGAATGAAGATCTCACCTTGTGACAAGCCATCTTTGGTCCAGATGTTATCATTCAGCTTCTCCAAGTCTTCTGACTCCGGAAATTTCCCGCACAGTAGTGTGAACAAGAGTATCCCGAGTGACCAAACTGTTGCTGGTTCCCCGTGATACTCGCCATTTATATCGTACTCTGGGGGGCAGTACTCTCTTGTGCCTGGAAGAAAGACATTTTGTCCTGTTAACGGCCCCTAACTCATCACCAAAGTTTGCGACCCACCTTACAGCGTTGAGGGATAATACATACCACTAAAGGACGTGTATCCCTCGTTGATAAGGATTTCGCCGCACCCAAAGTCAATCAGTTTGACTTCCAGTGTGTTCGGGTTAATCAGCAGGTTTTCCAGTTTTATGTCACGGTGCAGCACTCCACGTTGGCAGCATGTTTGAGCTGCGAGTGTTGCCTGCTGCATGATAACCGATGCTACGTCCTCTTCAATAGTGCCTTTGTGGCGGTCTAGAAATCCAATCAAGTCCTCACAGGGTACAGGCCGCTCTAGAACCATGATGTATTGTTCAGGCTCCTCTTCCCAGTCTAGAAGCTGGATGATCTGGGGAACTCTGGGGCCTTTGTTGGCAAGAATTAGTAGACCAATCTCCGTTGGAACAGGTTCAGGACACCCCTCCTAGAAGAAAGATGATGAGAAAGGATGTAGACCAGTCATATTTGACCAGTCCTAAACTACGGACAATAGCAGTTTGTCTTTTGAAAACATTGACTTAGAGGAGAAACAGAGTACTTACAATGTCGAGCCATTCTATTCCCATGTTGTCAGCGAATTTCAGCGCCACCTGATAAAAAAAAAAAAAAAGGATTTGTGTTAGAATTATTTACAATTATTAAGTGTGCAGAGTTTATATCATTTCAGTCATTAACCTTGGACAGATATGTTCAGTTTCATTTATTTAAATTCTACGCATATCTTACAATTTAAACTGGTCTGAGAGGTCAAGTGCTCTAAATAGATACACTAAGGAAAATGAGAAAAGTGTAAGACAGACCAAGAACAATTTGCTCAAAAGATTTTGTAAGTAAAATAAGTGATACCTTAAGGCCATCTGTCATGCGAATTCCCGCATAAACATTTCCGAAGCTTCCTTCACCGAGCTTCCTGCCGATTTCATAGCTGCATGAATTGATGTCTGTTAAAGGAAAAATAGGAGTTGACACGAGTAAAGACAGATAATATATCAAAAGTTTGTCTGTATTGTGGTATGTTGTCAATGACATGACAGTCAACTTACCAATAATCTCATAATCATCCAGTTGACTCTGAGGTGATACAGTGTCCTCTGTCAGTCTGACTGATTCATGGTGGATGTCAACTCTACAGTCTGACGAGGCACAGACTAGAACTTGAGAGACATCGCTACAACAGTCAACCACATCAAAGCCTGGAGCTGATGTGGTACTGACAGGGACTTGGGGGACGTCCACACTGCAGTCAGCCTCAACACGGACTGGTACTCGAGGGAGATTGGCTCTATAGTAGGCCACATCACGGATCAGAACTCGAGGGAAATTGGCTCTATAGTCGGCCACATCACGGACTGGTACTCTATAGTCGGATGTAGCAAAGACTGTAGCTTGGGGAATGTCAACACTCAAGTCAGTCGCAACACAGACTGGAGGTTGGAGGGTGTTGTCATTAAAGTCGGAGAAAACACAGCTCAAAGCGTTGAGGACATCGGCACTCCATTCAGACAAATCTCCGACTAAATCCTGGAGGACGTCATCACTCCACTCGTCATTGACTTCGGCATGACCAGGTTCCTCTGCAACGGGGAGGACTTCAGGCTCACTGGTGACATGCTGAGAAGTCCGATCTAAAGAGGGAAATATCAACCAAAAGAGGATACTAATGAAATACTACTAATAAATAATTGCATAACTATATATTACTGAATATTCATATTACTGCAACTAAGCTTGCTGTATATTATGAAGCAAGTTTTTGGGGGCATTCACAAAGGTCCAATTTGTGCATTTTGCTTTCTCAGTTGTTGGTCAGTGCACATGCAGGAATGCTTTTAAATGTCACATTAAAAATAGTTAATCAATGTTTTTAAATTGTTTATGTGGTGTTTCTAGTATGCTTTAAGACAAACCGTGTAAATTCATAAGTCAGCACCATTGCAGAGTATTTTCTCCTTAAAACTGCAGTGAACCAAAGACAGTCACAAACATACATTCAATAAAAATGTTGAGGTAATACATTTAAATGTCTGTATAAATGCATTTTTTTAACTGTCATTTAAGGTGTGTAGTGTCAAGAATATTATGTTTCTGAATTCTATAGTAAAAAAAATTAAATTCATGGTTGTACATTATTAGGGGCCAAGCACTGAAAGTGCAGAGGCACCTCTTGAAATCGTTGGCGTTCTTATTATTATTATTCCTTCGAATAGAAGTCTATGGCAGCCCATAGAACCGGAAATTTGGCACACTGATAGAGGACAGTCTGAACAGTCACCATAGCAAATGTGGAGTCTCTAACTCAAAAAAACATTAAACATTAGACCGATCGAGACGAAACCCCTTAGGAAGTTCGGAAACGGTTGGCTAGACTCCGCTCCGCGTCGTGCCTAACAACGCCCCTTAGCTGTTCTAAATCCACTGTAAAACACGGCTTCGCGGGGCTTATTGCTTTAGTCTATAACTCCAAAACAAAATTAGATATTTTCACCAAATTTGACACACATGAATATGAAATCGGCTCACTCTGAGGACACATAAACAAATTGGTGGGATTGTGTCTCTTGATGGCGCTATAGAACAAAACAAGAAAATGTCTATTTATTACAATATAATGATATTAAATGTTACACTTTACAAATGCATTGGTCTACCATGCCTTGAAGGTACTCAAAGAGTTTCAGGGCAGCGCCACCTATGGTAAAAAAAGTTATAACAAAATTTCCAAACAGGCTAATAACTTTTAAATACATTTGCCTATTGTAATGAAATTGGTCTTAATAGATTCCTTGGGTTATGCCAAAAACATAGATACCAATGTTCCCATAATCAGTTCCCATAAACTTCCTGTTCGCCATTTTGATTTCATTCAATACATACTTTTTCGAACTTCTAGACCGTTTGTCCGATTTTCACAAAAAATGAATCGTATCATCTACAGAACGTGCCAACAAAATGTTGTGGATTTCGTGTCGATAGACGAAATCATTATCGTATACTGCAGCAGCATATTTGATGCATGATGCCAAAATTACTATTCAGGCTTTATCTCTGTCATTATCGCCTCACTCTGACCACACCCAGAGCCGGATTATCCATAAGGGCACTTGGGCCAGTGCCCAGGGGCACCAACCATTCACAACCACTAGGGGGGCACCACATGAGTCAAGCTTTAAAAATATTTTTCGTAAATTGTTATATTATTAACTTGAAATTCTTGACAGACCATAAATAAATCGTTTATGAACACTAATTTAACAATAATAATAACAATAATGATTTAATAATAAATTATAAATAAATAAAGATTACATGACCACTATCACTCCCCCCTCCCCAATCTGTCAGAGTTGCGTTGGTCCACAACAAATACGTGCAAATGTGTCATTTTTTTAACGGCCACAAAAAAATGAATTAAAATCAAAACTGGACAGCAGCAATTGAGTGGTTTTGCAAAAAGAAAGTTAAAGAAAGACAAGGACGCTAGACGTAGCTACAATTTACAATGTTCCAGGTATCGAAAGATTTTTTGTGAGAACATCACGGGAATTGCGATCAGTAGCACCGCTGAGTCTGACGAAGCCGGAGCTAACTGTGGAGACGGTAACAAAGAAATGGACTTTGGGGATGTAGTTGACACCTTTGCTTGCGCAAAATCAAGGAAGGAGCAGTTCTGCTAAACTTAATACATGAAAACGTTTTACCAGATTTAGTGCTACACTTATTGTCTCTTATTTGTTCCTCACTAAATAAGGTTTTTTTTTTCACTAAATGTTCGATTTTATACAATTATTGTGCACTTGTGATTTTTCTAGACTAAATTTTACTGCTGAGTTACCCACTAATCTAGTTTATATAATAGAATTTTTGTCATAGGTTATGACTTATGATCATATTTTTTTTTATTTGTTGTTTTTCTTTATAATGAAGTTGTCTGTATTAAGTAGATTATGTTTAACAGAAAATAGTGATTATCAGTTCAACACACAGAGTTATAGAAATTCTACTTGATTTTTTTTTTTTTTTTAACTGCGCTGGTATCGGATCGGTATAATTCAATACTAAGAATTTTTGGTATCGGATTGGATCGGTTCAGAAGAAATGGTATCGGGACATCCCTAATATTTTCTGGTAGGCTATATCTAAGTTACCCAGGAGCTCTGTTGACATAGGCTTAGCTAACGTTAGCTACAGCTTGATGAATTGAGTTGAACACAGCAGGAGAGAACGCAACATTAGCCAGCTAGCTAAAGCTCTGGTGGGAAATTATTAGCTAACGCTACGGAGGCCATAATATTTTTGACTCATGGCTGAAGTTAAGTTTCTCCAACTCTCCCCAGGTTGGCAAAAAAAAATGCATCTCAAAATGCATCAGATTGATGCTATAAAATATGGAATATTTAAAAAAATTCTTCCGGGGGGGCATGCCCCCGGACCCCCCTAGAGGGGTAATATCCTTCTCACCTTTTTCACCCCTGACCCCTTTTCATGCCTGTAGAGGTAAGACACCTGATAGATTTATTATTATTTTTGGGCAAACGTGAATTGACGCTGTCAATTAATTTATGTACATTTTTAATTGACACATTTGAATATAGGGGGCCTTTTGAGGTATAGTGCCCAGGGGCACCACACTGTCTTAATACGGCCCTGACCACACCACATCAATTTCGTAACTGCGTCACCTATTGGTCATAAGTGAAAAAACATTAAATCATATTATTAGTGACTATATATGATTATTCAGCTATTTTGCCTCAAATCATCTTAAAATGTCTTTAATTGCTGCTTGCTGCAGTTGGTCTGACACTCCCAGCCATGTTGGCATGTCTTATCGTCTTGGGCTTGGCCCTGAAAATTGCTGCTTGCAGCTATAATTTAATAATAGAATGATAGAAAAATTGAATCTATTAATAAATGTATTAATGCACAACCAGACTTTAAAAAACTGAGCTTTCATGGCAGAAAAAGAAGATGATATAGGATAAAAAAATTTTTTTCCAGTTGTTACATTAACATGTACATGTCTGGTCCTCTTTCTCACCTTGACTTGAGCTGGTTTTATTATTTTTTTCCTTCCTTTTGCCTTTCTCTTTTTTCCTCTCTTTCTCTTTTTTCCTCCCTTTCTCTTTTTTCGCACCTACATCCCTCCCTCCATCTGAATGTAGATGATCTTCCACTCTATTACTGCTTGATTGTGATGGTGTACAGTCGTGTAAATTGTACACACTGTCAGAAACATCTACACATTTCATACAAGAAATGTGTAAACCCATTTTCAAATGCTAACTATGCTGCAAAAAAATGCCAGTAGAAAACTTTCAGCAAAGTAATGAATGTGCAGCAAGGTGTGCGATTGTGACGTCGTGTTCTATGATGCATTCCAATGTTGTCATCGTGAGTGGTCAGACTCACTGTGTGGGCGGGGCTTCTGCGCAGGCGCTGAACTCGTAGCATCGTGTTATTATTTGCTGCCCTTTTAGGAGCAGAATAAATATTTATTCAGGAAATCATCAAACCGTGCTGTATATGAATTAAAAAATCAATGCATTTGTCATTCATATCAGATGTATGTCGTTCACAGGTAAGAATGTTCTAAGCATTGGCGTATTATTGTCTTAAAAATAGTACCGTGGGGTTTTTTTATGCTTAATGATGAAGCTTAAAATTATTGTAACTCCATAGGCAATATCGAAGAGATTTTATGACTACAGAGCAGCATCAAAGCGTGAAAGTTGTCGTGGCAACCAGATACATAGCACATTTGAGTTAGCGGTTATTGCTACTGGAATTTTTTAACTTCTGCATAATAGTTTTGTCAATTGTGTGCTTATCTTCATCCATGAGAGTGGTATATTTAAAATACATGTGTCAATTTAAAGCATTCTGTTTTCTATATCTTCGAAGTAGCGCCGTATTTCGTTTATAAATCGATCATGTGCGTGAAAAGGTTTGAGTTATAGATTTTCCGTGGCTTTCAAAATATGATTTGGGACAAAATCGACATTGGCACAAAACTAAGTGGTGGGGAAATGTTTCAATATTATTGTTGATAATTTATAGAGAGGAGGGCGTTTGATTAATTTTGAAAAAGAGCAGGGGTTAGAGTACAGAACATTAGAAAAAGAGTAACGGCTAATACTTTTACACATAGAAAACAGTTATTTTAATTTGTAATAATATTTCGCAATATTACTGTTTTTACCGTTTTTTATTAAATAAATGCAGCCTTGGTGAGCAGAAAAAACGTCTTTCAAAAACATGAAGAGAAGTGTTTCCAAACTTTTGACAGGTATGATTTTGTAGAGGTGAGTCTCAGTCTAACGTCACTCAGTGTCGGCGTTGCTTCATGTTACTAAAAAATAATTTTGTCCCCAAATGTGCTTGAATTTTACTCTCACCATATATTGTGACATTTCGAGCAGGATTGCTCATTGTTATTTTGACTGAACTTCAGATGTTCTTCGTGTAGTGACTGCGCGGTCTAGTCTCGAGATCCTCCCCTCCTGTAGACGGCAGTGTGTGAAAGGAGAGACGTTTGTTACTTTAAAACCACCATCGAGGAAGAAATAGCGACTTTATTTTGAAAATGGCGTCGGACGTGAGCCGTGATGGTTCTGAAAATAAGCGCAAACTAGACGAAGATGAAGGCGAATGGGTCGGTCCTCTGCCCAACGAGGCAACACAAACAAAAAAGAAAAAAGGTACGTTAAAGTGACTTGTTTTATACAAAACGGAAGCGTCTATTACTGTCCCTAACCCTAGTGAGCTGCCCACACAAGAGTCCAGACAGCACATCAAAGTCGCCTGTATTATGTCTAGATTAAGTTTTGATATATAAACTATGCTAGACAGCCGTTTCTATAACAGCTTGTATGTCTTGTGTTTTCATAGCAGCTAATTTTACAGTTTTGAGATGTTTTATTAATGGAGCAAATGTCTTCTTTTGCAGTTCTTGAGTTTGAAAGATTGTACCTGGACAATTTACCCTCCGCCTCCATGTATGAAAGAAGTTACATGCATAGAGATGTTATAACACACATTGTTTGCTCCAAGTAAGTTTTCTCCAACTTGCCACCACAGAATATTTGACTAGTAAATCAAAAATATATTAGCAAGGTTTTTTTTTTCTGTAATGTTTATATATACATTATAATTATATACTTCTGACATTATTATTATAAAAAAATTGGTAAATTATTTAATGTTTATTTAAAAAGATATATAAAAATATCATTATTATTTGAACACACACTATTTTTATGGCTGGAAATTCTATGGTTATTATTATACAGTAAACTCCAAAACTAAAAAAAAAAGAAGTAGTCAGCCTGCTAGATAATTTTACCTAACTGACAAGTTTTAAAAAATCTAGCAAGGAGAATATACTACCTTTATGTAGCAGAAACCCCAAATGTTTAAGTTCACAAGCCATACAATGCATTTACACAATTGAAAAATAAATAAATAGTATGATATAGTGCTGACCGATTGGCACTGGTCAAGCTGGCATCCTTATTGCTGAGTCCTGGAGCTTACATGTAAATCAACACTCAAGTGCATTTATTTGACTCCAGATGTACGGATTATAATTTTTATACCATTCTAGAACAGATTTTATCATAACAGCAAGTCAAGATGGGCATGTGAAATTCTGGAAGAAGAAGGAGGATGAGGGAGTGGAGTTTGTCAAGCACTTCCGCAGCCATTTGGGTAGGTGTCTGTTACTACACGCCTCACGTCTAGCATTGTGGCAGTGGGTTTTTCCTTCAGAAACTGTGCAAATAATCTGTCTGTGTTTGTCTCTGGTGCGCAGGTGTGATCGAGAGTATCTCCGTCAGTGCGGAGGGTGCGCTCT